GGGATACAATCCTACAGCTCTCCACTCTAGGAATTCTTTCCCAGTGAATTGTTGGAGAACTTGTCTGTCCTTTTGGGGCACACTGGGGAATTGTGGGAAGGCATTGGAGGACTAGTGGCACTGAAGTTGTGCTAGCCTGCATCCACGCTACAGAGCAGCTGTGTTAGCAGCTGATGAGTTGTGCTCACTCAAGTTGTACTGTCTGATGGGACAACAACGTGAGCTACAAGCAACATTGCATTTGAATTAAAGGCTTTTGTGTGCAGACAGGACTCAAGTTAGGGCAGCATTTGAGTTATAAGTTCAGCTGACTTTGCAGTGAAGACAAACTCCAAAAAAGACAAAGCTGCTCCTTGGTGACAGGGCTTTAGCGTATGTCTACACTGAAAAATAAAAGGTGTGTTAAACTGGGTTACCTAACTCAGATTAAAATAGCAGTGAAGACACATCAACTCGGCTTTTAACTTGGGAGGCAGCTCAAATTAAAGCCTGTAGAGGAGCCGGGGGTGGAATTTGAGCTGCTAACCCTGAGTTAAAACCCAAGTTGCTGTGTCTTTACCGCTATTTTAATCCAAGTTAGCTAATGTGAATTAAAAGACACACCTCTTTTTGCAGTGTAGACATACCCTTAGCTGGTGTTTCTGCAAGGGTTGCCTGTGAACCATTTGCAACTTCTTCTGTTCAAGAAACAGGACTGGAAGAGCATGTCTCTGCTTTGTGGGTGCCCCTTTGTCTCTGGCCCCAGTGTTGCATGGGGTCCTCCTCTCTGGTGCCCCTACTGGGCTTTCCCACAGATGTGCAATGGCCTTTCTCAGCCTGCGTCTTCTCCCTACTCACCCTCAGAGTGTTCTCCTCCAGCGGAGTCACGCAGTGGTTCACTCCGCTTCTGGGGTACTCAGTGTCCCAGTTGACGTACACAAAAGGTCCTTCAACCCTCCTGGGCTTCTCTCAGTTCTCCTCACTCTTGTCAAGGCACTGATTTCCCAGGATTTTTCCCCATTGGGAGTCCAAAATTCCACATGAATTGGTTTCCCACTCCTCCTGGGCCTCTCTTCTCTGCCCTGATGTAGGGCCTTGCTCAGGGCTACCCCTCAGGAGCCGATTCTGCTCCAGGTGGGTCTTTCCACTTGACTTCCTCAGGCTCTTCCCAGAGAGGAACCTGCTTTGTTCCTTTCTCCACGATCTTCCTCCTCTGCTGAGTCCCCAGCCCTAGTTAAGTAGTGCTCTGCCTGCTTCGCCACCACAACTGGGCTCGGTTTCTAATTACGCCCCATTACATCCAACTGAGGTCACTAATTAGCTAGTATGTTGCCAGCTCATCAGAGAGGCTGAAGAATAGCTGCTAAGTCCTGGGCATGGGAATTTGTACCTTCTGTGAATAAACAAACCATACCAAGAAAATCACCTGATTAGGCACTGCCCCTTTCTACTCTGAGGGGAAACTAGCCCTCAGCTTTGCTAGCACGGTGCTTCATTTTTGTATGATTTGGCTTGAGGCCTGTCTCCTTTACTGGAAAGTCTCTACTTCAGAAGCCTCAACAGCGTAACAAACGTTGCCTGTGTCGTCACCGACCTTTAGCCTTCCTTTCCTGTGTGATCTCTTTGGTCTGCTGCTCGCAAAAGGTGTCAATTGTGCTCCCACGACAGAGACGGCTTAGGAAGGGCTCCCTCATGCCACAGTCTCCTGTTAAACAGAACCAATGTGGGGTGTTAGAGGGTTTTCCCTTCACCCTCTCCCCTGGTTCTTGTCACACAGACAGAAAGCAGAAGACCAGAAGTCCGAAGCACAGACAATGCGATGTTTATTGGGGTAAGTTTCCAAACAGGCATATTCCGAAGTCCTTCACACCAGTTGGGCATATCTGTACGTGATAGAGTCTGTTCCCCAGTGTTCCCTTCCCAGCTCTGACATCGCAGAGCATTTACCCCGTGTCCCCCTTCCCAGCTCTGACGCCGCAGAGCATTTACCCCGCGTCCCCCTTCCCAGTTCTGATGCTACAGAGCCTTGCCTGTGTCTCTGTTCCCCGTTCCCTATTTCCTGTTCCCATTCCCCCCCTTAGCAAACCTGATTCCAATTTCCCTTCCCCCCACTTCCTGTTTGACCCCAGTTTATATAGTAATATTCTCAGCTCTATCATTCTTAACCGATCATTTTACTGAAATTTTACCAACCAATCCTAACATATTGTAACATAATTCTCTAACCAGTTATATCCCAGTACCCTCATTCATTTACACCCAGCAAAATTAATTCCACAGCAGACAGAAACAATTAGAGAACCGGGCAGATTAACAATAGAAAAGTGGGGGCCATAAAGATAAAACAATACAGAAATGAGGGTTTCACAACCACAACCATTGATAAGGGATTTCTTGCCAGACAGGATGCTATCAAACTACGTTTTCTTTAAAAAGGATAAGGGGGCCGAGGTTGGGGCTGCAGCTGGGGGTCGATCTGGGGCCAGGAGCAGGGCTGTGGCCAGGGGCTGAGGTTGGGGGCGGGGGCGGAGCCGCAGCCGGGCTGTGGTGGGAGCCAGTAGCCAGGCTGGCAGCCTGGTGAGGCTCCGCTCCCGGCCTCACCCCCAGCCTCAGCCTTGGGCCGAAAACGGAGCTGCAGCGAGCAGTCAAAGCTGGGGGCTGGTGTGGGGCCGGGGCCTCTGCACCGAGGCTGGGGGATGGGATCAGGGATGGGGACAGGAATCAGGGTTGCGGTTGGGGGGAGGGACCGGAGCAGAGCTGGGGGCAGAGTGACGCTGGGTTGAACTCCCTTCCCACCCCCCATGGGAGCTGGCCTGGGCCCCGCCGTGGCCCCCCCACCAACGTTCCCTAGGGAGGCGCACCCCACAGTTTGGAGACCTCTGGAGTACATGTACTTCTGATCCGATCTGGACTGGACAGTCCTATGTTCCCAATTACCAACCAATCAGGATTCACAGCCACATAACAGAGACCAATTTTACGTCTTGGCAAATGTATGAATAAGAAACTGACTCATGGATTGTGGCAGGAAACTCTCTCTGATCAATGAGCCCTGCGGTAATTCAGTGGCATAGCTACCAACAGGTGTTACTGACGATATTAGCAGCTATCAGCGCTCAGTCCTTCCTGTAACTACTCTGTGATCTCTGTGCATGAGCATAAGTACGGCTGGCTTCTGCATTGGTCTGAAAGAACAATGGGAAGGGTGCAGCTACCTATATCTCCAGTGGGTTTGTTTTACTACAATCGGCTTCTGCAGCAGGCTTAGCCACTTTACAGGCAATTCCTCTCTGCGCAATGCCTCTATAAAAGCAGTCCTTTTTCGCTCAGCAGATCTGCTTCCTGTAGGTATCCAAGTCCCATCTTCTGACTAAGAGGCTCAGATAACTTGTTAGTGCCTTCCCCTCTCTGTGGAGTGAGCCCAGCTCTGGGAGCTGGATTCAATTCAGGATCATGCATCGGCCTTGGAATTATATAATAAACTGCAGTGAGTTCCAGCTGTGCAAATCCACTGATGGCACCAGGGCTGCCGAGGGGTCACTGAGGGCAGGATGGGAAGGCAACAGGGGCCATAGATTGCAGACGGCAGAGAGGAGCAGATATTTGTAACTTTGCATGAGGCAGAAGCAAAGGGCAGGAGGATAAGAGTATTTGCAGGGTACGGGTCAGCCATCCGGACACATGGAAGCAGAAATCCTCCGTTTGATTATGAGCCATTGCACGTCCCAATGTGGTTGTGTACATGCAGGGAGGGATAGCTGAGTGGTTTGAGCATTGGCCTGCTAAACCCAGGGTTGTGAGTTCACTCCTTGAGGGGGCCATTTAGGGAACTGGGGTAAAAATCTGTCTGGGGATTGGTCCTGCTTTGAGCAGGGGGTTGGACTAGATGACCTCTTGAGGTCCCTTCCAACCCTGATATTCTATGGTCCCTGAGCTGGTCAGAAATCACACAGAGCTTAAGTTGCTTGCATCAGCTCTGCTTTATTCTGAGTCTGAATCAAACTGACTGTGCAAAACAACACCTACAAGAGGTTCCCATGGCCTCACTGAGACTCTCTGTCTGGGAAGCTCAACCCTTACATGCACAGCCCCTCCCTCCCAGTACCACATCTCTCCTTCTAAGCAAAACTTAGTAACACCTAGAAGAAACCAACACACAGTTACTAACAATGTTCAACTAGTCTCTGAGGTGCCCTGCACTGTCCCCTGGAACATCAGCTCTACAGCTGTCAGGAGGCAGCAAGTCCACTTGTCTGGTTGTTCCCTGTCTGAGACCTCCATTGTCCCAACCCTTTATCCCCATAAAAGGGGGATAATGATACTCCCTTTGTATATTTAGATTTCAAGCTCTTTGGGGCAGGGGCTGTCTCTCGCTGTGTGTCTCTGCAGCGCCTGGCACAACGGGGCCCTGATCTCAGCTGAGGCCTCTATGCACAGTCATAATACACAATGACTCATGATAATAATAATGGAGGACGGGGCCCACAGAAGGACAGTTCAGTAGCCTACCAGTGCATACAGTTCGGTGGCTTATTGCTATATTAGTCACCAAACCACAGCTACCTCTCACATCTTGGCAAATAAGGTCCAATACACAGAGTGTCTCTCCCATTTCCTTTATTGACTAAGAAGAGAATGCCTGTTCGTGAATTGTTCGTGCAGTGGGTAGATCAAGGGGTCTCAACCTTTTCCACATCAAAACCGACTTCTCATTTAACACTACAGGAAAGGCAGCGTGATTACAGCCCTTTGGTAACAGCTTGTTTGCCACATCCAGGTTGAGAAGCCAGTAGGAGAGGTATTGCTTCAAGAGGAAGGGAAGAACATAGTGTTTTCTTTGATGGTTTTTGTAGCTGGTCATGTGGAAAACTATATTAATATTCAGAAAAATAACTTGTACGTTACTGAAGGCCCTAATGCTGACACTTTGGAACATTAGTTGAGACCAGAGCTGGTCAGAATATAGGGGAGGGGGTTTGTGTAGAAAACTTCAATTTTTTTAGCCAAAACTGAAATATTTTGATTTAGAAATGCTGCTGTGGTACCTCATGGGAGATGTAGTTCTGTTTCCTCATGCTCCCATTCTCCTCTACATGCCAGGCCTCTCGGTCAGACTACGTCTCCCACAATGCACCGCAGTCTCCCATCTAGGAGTGGGGATCACAGTGGTCCCTTCTGGCCTCAGAATCTACGAGAACTACATTTCCCAGCCCAGTTTTCCATCGAAACACAGGTTTGGACCAGTCCTCAGTGAGTCGACAGTGGTCAATATCTCCAGTTCAGAAAGCCAAATGACGACTAATCACTCTCCCTCATTCCAAAGGCCTTGCATTGCCTTTTGCCGTGGCTTTGTGCATCAGGCTGGCCTGCTGCAGACCCAGCGTCTCCCTGTGCTACATCTTGAGCTGCTGATACCTTTGTCGTCATTCAGATACGCGCATTCACCTCCTCCCCTTATTGGAAACCTGCAACACAAAGGCCATGGGATTTAAAAAACAAACAACCCCGTTGGCGTCAGTGGGGCAGATTCCCAGCTGGCGTAAGTCATATAGCTCCACTTAAGTTGCAGAAGTCAATGGAGCTATTCCAATGCACCCCAGCTGAGAATATCTCCCCGCACGTTAGCCACCTTAGACCATGATAGAAAGGGAATGTAACGAAAGAGACTTACTGGTCATTGAATGGGGTGTCATTTACCCATTTCCAGGGCTTGTCTGCTTGGTCCCTGGTAAGGCCAATCCAGGTTTCTGAGCGTCCCTTATAGTGCAGCATAAACTCCTTATTAAAAAAAAGTGAAAACAAAAATGGTGCATTACATGTTACTGAGACGCTAATGGAGAAGATGCAATAAAGACACAAAGATCTGCATCACATTCCACATGTGTAACTAGTTTACAGGACCAGCCTATCCAATAATACATATCAAAGATTGGGGGGAAAAATCCAATCGCTTTTTTTATACTTGGAACTTAAGGCCACGTGAACAATTTTAACATGCCAATTAGCCCCAGATGTACTCATTGAAAAATATACATTTAGGCCCTGATCCCATAATATATGGAGATATACCTATCTCATAGAACTGAAGGGACCCCAAAAAATCATTGAGTCCAGCCCCCTGCCTTCACTAGCAGGACCAAGTACTGATTTTGCCCCAGATCCCTAAGTGGCCCTCTCAAGGCCTGAACTCACAGCCCTTGGTTTAGTAGGCCAATGCTCAAACCACTGAGCTCATAAGGGGCTAAAGAGTTGAGCACAAATTGAAATGAGTCAACAGTGTGATGCTGTGGGCAAAAAAGGCTATTATTATATTATTAAGAATATATTAATAAGAATATTATTAAGCCTATCATTCTGCTCAGATACTACAGCGATCAGTGTGGCATAAGAACCTCTGTAGACTGGACTAGAATAGACACAGCTTGGGCAGTCCCCTGCTTCTGGGCGTGCAGGAATCTGGCTGCCTGGAGCGCACTGTCGGATCAGGGCCTTATTTTGGCTTCTCATCATGAGACTTGGTACCGAGGCATCTCCTCGTTCTAGAGGTGCTGAGCCCCCTAGCATAAAATATTCCTCAGGTTTAACTACAAAGTTCCGGGCAGCAGCTCCGCAATCATTACCTAGCTGTTGCCAAGCCCGGACTATTGGGATCGCAGAGTTTCTCACCTTTTCCTCCCGGGTGTCAACTGTAGCCAGGGAGGCACCGAGCGAAGAGCAGTTTCTCTGGCTGGAGTTCCAATCCCCATCGACTTTTGAGAAATAGTAGCATTTCCATGGGTATGTTTTCCCTTGGGACCCGATCCAATTGACTGGACATGTGGTAGTGGCATGATTTGGGCAGGGCCTACTGCTAACCACTGAAAACGAAATTAACACAACAGTGAGGATCTTTCCCATCCCCTCTCTGTACAGGATTCAGAGGCAAAGAGTGATATTCCACCTTGGGCTGAGAGCCTGCGTACAAGGATTATACCCGCCACCCACTTAAGTTCTCAAAATAGGACGTAAGTGGCCCAAAGATTGTGTGCCGGGTCTACACTTGGGTGACAAGAACATAAGAACGGCCATAGTGGGTCAGAACAATGATCCATGTAGCTCAGTGTCCTGTCTCTGACAGTGGCTGCTGCCAGATGCTTCAGAGGGAATGAACAGAACAGGGCAATTATTGAGTGATCCAGCTTCTAGCAGCTGGAGGAAACCCAGAGCATGGGGATGCATCCCTGACCTTCTTGGCTAATAGCCATCGATGGACCCATCCTCCTTGAATTTATCTAATTCTTTTTTTAACCCGGTTATACTTATGGCCTTCACAACATCCTCTGGCAAGGAGTTCCACAGGTTGACTGTGCGTTGGGTGAAGAAGTACTTCCTTTTGTTTGTTTTAAACCTGCTGCCTGTTAATTTCATTGGGTGACCCCTAGTGCATGTGTTATGGGAAGAAGTAAATAGCACTTCCCTATTCACTTGCTCCATGCCATTCATGATTTTATAGACCTCTATCATCTCCCCATATAGTTGTCTCTTTTCTAAGCTATATAGTCCCAGTCTTGTTAATCTCTCCTCATAAGGAAGCTGCTCCATTCCCCTGATCATTTTTATTGCCCTTCTTTGTATTTTACTCAGAACTATTGACAGGTTCAAATATCCCACCTGCAGCTGGGTGCTTATATTGTTAGCTATGAGATCGACACCGGAGTTTAACCAGAATAGTTCTGCCACGAAGCTTTGATGCTGCATCATGAAAGGCTACAGGAGCTTTGCCGTTGATCTCAATGGGAGCAAAGTCAGGCCCCAGATCCCCAGTATAAATTCCGTCATCGCACATTAGCAAGCAATGGAGGTGAACAGCTTAATGTGCAACGTAGCTGGAAGCTGGCAATCAGACACAAGAACCTCAGGCTGATGGCAGGGTTTTATGAAATGGGCATGCCAATACTGTGGAATAACATCGTCACCGGGGGACTAGGCCTTTAAGGAGAGATGGGGCCTGCCTGATCTGTGCCATATGTAATTCTGTGCTTCCCAGCCTGAGGGGGTGGGACTAAGGGGGCTGAAATAAATCAGTCGAGAGTTGAACCACAGAGAGTGGGTAGGAGCCTGTGGAAGGCTCTGAGCTAGGGTCTGCAGGAGGCTGCTACTCCAGCCTGGGGGGGCAAGTGCTTCATCCCAGAGAGACAGAAAGGTAACCCAGAAGGAACTGGGAACTCATCCTGGAGGGTGGCACTTTTAGCTGGACTTTTGTTACCCTGGAAGGGGGTTACGTTTGTTTGTAACTTAGCCGGAGGGACCAGCCACATTTCCAGCACTGACTGGTGTCTGGAAAACTAAGAACGCCCACCTTGGGGAGGGAAACTGAGGCTGGGAGTGTTGTTTGGCCAACAGAGGCTGCTATGAGGTGGCCTGAAATCACATTTAGACTTCACGTGAGATATCTGCATCCTAAATGCCAGGTAGGCATCTAAACGACGATCTCAGGTGCTGAGAACCTATTTATATGCGCAGTTATGGGAAGTGCAGACAGAGTCATGCATTTTTACACCCAGGGCTCCGGCCTTCCTAGCTGCAAACGTGACCATTCAGGGATGGAAAATGCCCCTAAACCACTATCAATTTTACACGTTTTGGGAAAATCTCTATTGTCGTGCCCCATTTACAATTACACCTCTACCTCGATATAACGCTGTCCTTGGGAGCCAAAAAATCTTACCGCGTTATAGGTGAAACCGCTTTATATTGAACATGCTGTGATCCACTGGAGTGCGCAGCCCCCTGTCCCCGGAGCGCTGCTTTACCGCGTTATATCCGAATTCGTGTTATATCGGGTTGCGTTATATCGGGGTAGAGGTGTACTTAGATATGGACGGAGGTGTGCATAGAATGTTACACGTAAGAATTAAGACCCGGCTATTTCCCAGAGGAACCTACAGTCTAATACAGACAAAAAACGACATGGAAAGTTACATTTGCAAAGTCAAACACTCAAAAGTTACGGCCAGGAGGCCACTCAAAATCCCAGCCGCTAACAAGTCTCTACTGAGCACGTATGGATGGAATTTTTTCAAAGGCTTATAACATCCCCAAATTTGGGTGGTTTTTCATTGGACCCGCCAGCGGCATGCCCTTGACACAAAGGGTATGTCTACACCGAACTGTTAACCCAGGATCTTCCCCAGATTTTAGCTCCCGTCCATGCAGGAAAAAACAATGACGTGTTTGGAGGTGATTTAAGCCCACACTGGCTGACCTGGCTGGGGTATGGGTTAGGATCTAGGCTCTGGTTTAACTCAGGCTGGAACCCACCAACTTTGTAAGGAGGACGCAGGCTAAATCGCTCAAGTGAATGAATCTATAAAAATCATTCAAGTGCTGATTGTCGTCCAAGGCCTTCCCCACAACGCCCCCTGAAGGACAGAGAAGTTCTCCCACAAGTGACTGGGAAGGAATCCCAGAGGGTCTCAGCACAAAGAACCATGGGAAGTCCTAGGGAGACATGGGAAGCACACAACTAGTGAGGACACAGTAACTTGGGTAGGACTTTGCTGTGGGGATGCCTGCACCTGGGCAAAGCTAGCCTGGGTGTTCCGACCTGGGGGCCAATCACCTGGGTTATTTGTGCTGTGTAGACATACCTAAAGCCAACTCCCCTGTCAAATTTCAAGTCCCCACTCCAAAGCAGAGAGGCCCTAGAGATTCTCAGCCAGAAGGCTGTAAGAATTATTTTGATGGGGGGAAACAATTAGTTTCAGCCAGAGGGATAAAGCAAAGCAGAAATGTCAGACTTCGGGCTCTTTGCTTTCCTATCGCATGCTGGTTCAGCACTACTAAGGTTGGGGAGGCTGGATTGTGCATCTTCCATGATTCCGACTGCGAAGGGAAAACAAACACCAAAAACTCAATTAGGAATTGCTGTCAACTCACCTGCCAAAACAATAACAGCAATAATGAGAAAAACTAGAAACAGGACCATGACTAATCTGTATTTCCAGAGGATACGGCAAAGCCAGAAGTGAGATTCATCTGAAAAAGAAAAACACATTAATGTTCTTGAGGCTGCTTTAGGAGAGATAGAGGAACCACATTTATCAACTATGTCCTGCAGCCAAGCCCCCGGTGGCCAAGTATTGTTTTGCAATCACTATCTGTTATGAACTGTACTTGCTAGTAAATCCTGGGGAATGTAATATTGTGCACTATAGCCAGAGCCCTGTGTATTCTACAATTCTATGACTGCAGGATTCATACCTTGCTGCATAATTGTGCTACAGAAGCTGACTTTTAATTTAAAAATATATGTTTCTAGTCCTTGTGGTTGCAAAGAACAGCTTGAAATGGTGACGTGAGTGCAACTGATGCAGCAGTATCTGCCTGAGTCTGAGAAAGCCTGAAACGAGCTCTGAGAGAGGGCAACTACCCAATTCATCACTATGGGGTGTTAACTCTGAAACCTATACATAATAATGTGACATGTACATAAAATGTAAGAACAGAGTAAAATAAGCTTAATTTATTATAATTAGAGCTGATTGGAAAATGAACAATTTCACAACAGTTGTGAAATTGTTTTCAATTTGCAGGGTTTGAAATGCCCTCCCTAAGATGAAAAACATTAAATTAAAATGTTTGCTAAAAACTTCAATAAAAGTTTTATTTAAAAAAATTGACCAGAGCTAGTCAGATTAAATAGCACAGGAGATGCTGCACTGATTGCAGAGGCAGATTAAGGTCTCCTGGGCCCTAGGCTGGAGCAAGTGCAGGGGCCCCAGCACCAGAACCACGGACCCGCTCATCCCTTCCACCTATGGCCCCACCCAAGGCACCACCCCATTCCACTCCTTTCCCCGTGGCCCCGCCCCCTCCTTGCTCCTTTCTGTGCCCCCACTGTGGCCATGAGACTGGAGAAGCTCTGTGCCCCTGCTGTTGCCCTGGGGCCATGGTGGGGAGCAAGCGGGGAGCAAGCGCTTCTCCAGCCCCGTGGGCCCATGTGGTAATCCACCATTGACTGATTGCATTATCTTTTTCATATTTAATCTCATAAGAGCTCACATTTTTAATTTATCTGACGCCACCAGAGAATTTCCACCAGATGCAACAGAATCCAGGAACACTGAAGCAAAATTTAAATCCAGTTCACCACAGAATACATAGGGCTGGCCTATAGTGTTATGTTATGTAACCATTAGTGTGGCAATTTACACTGTCTTCTAAGAAGTGTGAAGGAGACACACTACTGAGCATCTATGCAGCTATTTCTTGTCCTCCCTCAACCTCCGATGGTTAATAAATAGGATCAGACAAGAACAGGGCCCGAGTCATGCCAGAATACTCCAGTTCTGGTACTTCTGTTGGGAGGAGAACTGCGTTTTGGTAGGCCTGATAAAAGTGCAATTCTCAGAAGTACCGGAACGCTGTGAATCTTTCGATTAAAGGCGCATTGGTAAACTTGTAAACACGGCAATTCTTTCCATACTTCTTTATCGTTCTTCCATTTGTCTTGACAGCGAAGCTTCGCTTACCTGGTCTGTTTTTTGTCTGTGAGCCTGCAGGGTTAGGAAGTGCCTTAGCTGTCTCTCCTCTATTCTCCATGTAGCAAGTGGGGCACATTGCTTTCCTGTATCTTCTGGCTGCAATCAGTATCGACTGGCTGCAAGGAACTGTAGGTTATTCAAAGGTGGCAGAGCTAGTTTCTGTTATTGAGTGTCTTATAGTACCACCTACAGGCAATGACTGAGATCAGCACCCCAACAACCTAAGTATTGTACACCCGCGTCATAAGAGACTCATTTGACACAAGAACCTCAGGCTGATGGCAGGGTTTTATGAAACTGGCATGCCAATACTGTGGAATAACATTGTCACCGGGGGACTAGGCCTGCATTTTTCTGCATTTTTCTCCGAAAGGAAGAAAAATGTCGTCCATTTCTAGCAGTGCAGGCCCCTCCCAGATTCTAATGCGATGGGAAAGTCAGTTCCGGAGCCATGTAGGCAAGAGGTAGTTGTGATGTCAGGGATGCTACAGCCCGAGATCCATTTCCGTGGATGAGTTCAAGACAGTTGCCTTGGTGTTGGGGGGTCTGATCGGTAGATTTCACAGGGTGGTTGTTTTCCACGGCAGAGTGTGTGGGCCCCTTCACAGCCGCCTCTCCTCTGAGGCTGGTGTGCTGAGGGGCTTCCCTCTACTGTTTCAATCCATTTCAATCCCTGCTCTCAGCCACGCTGAGCCACAAGGCGCATTTTTACTCCTCCTCTGGTGAGCAAGGGGAGTGGGGAGCACATGGTGAAACTGGAGACAGGTTGAGAAAGGTGCGTTGGGGATAGAAAGGGTTGGAAAGGAGAGGAGGAGAAGGGGGAGACTCAGAGAGAGGGAGGGGAAAGAAAGGTTAATCATGGGGAGGAGAAATGAAAAATTGAGGGAAAGAGAGGAGCAGTCACAGAAGGGAAATTGAAATGGGGAAGGAACACACATGCACGCTTCAACTTGGCTGGCTAGGGGATCTGCTGGAGGATACAGATTCCTTTTGGACACATCTCACCTCTTGGCCGCATTCTCCTTTCCCTCCTCCAAGCTGACGCAACATCATGTGTCCACTTGACAAGGACACCCAGGATAACGTGTCATATGGGCTACCAAGGGAGGTGGTGGAATCTCCATCCTTAGCGGTGATATAAAATTATTCTACTTAACTGCCAGGGGGCAAATTTGTCACGTACACATGGGAAACATGCAGCGTCAGCTATATCTTAACTCAGGAAGTTCCTTCGAGAGGAAATGTAGCCAAACTCCAAACCTGGAGACAATGGACCTTTCTGTGCCTGCGTCCTGTAGATAAACTGCTTGGTTTGCAAAATAACGCAAGGAGGGGGCAAGTAGATGAACAATAAGGGGTCATATGAGGGGCAGATACATGTAGCTTGCTAATTATTTATGGTAATGATAGCAAATTTTGGCCAATCATAGAGCGATAGATTATCATAATCAACTGCATAGAATGCTTTGGTGTAAGTGTTTTCTTTGTTCTTGCTGACTTATGAGCTCGAACCGAATTGCAATTGAAATAAACGGATCGCCCCTCCCGGGGCTCCTTGCTTGATTAGCTGTGTCCGCCTCTCCTTATTCCTCAGCTGGAACGGACAGAAATTTCTATGACAGAGGTTTTTAACGCCTGGCTTGATAAAGCTGGGATGATTTAGTTGGGGTTGGTCCTGCTTTGAGCAGGGGGTTGGACTAGATGACCTCCTGAAGTCTCTTCCAACCCTAATCTTCTATGCTTCTATGATTTCCCTTTCATTTTTATTTTCTTTCACCACCCTCCCCCTCTCCATAATCACCAACATGATGTAGGCCAGTGGATCTCAAGCTTTCCAGACTACTGAACCCCTTTCAGGAGTCTGATTTGTCTTGCGTACCCCCATGTTTCACCTCACTTAAAATCTGTTTGCTTACAAAAGCAGACATAAAAATACAAAAGTGTCACAGCCACTATGACTGAAAAATTGCTGCCTTTCTCATTTTTACTATATAATTATAAAAGAAATCAACTGGAATATAAATATTGTACTTCGGTTTCAGCAGATAGTATATAGAGCAGTATAAACAAGTCAACGTCTGTTTGAAATTTTAGTTTGTACTGACTTCACTAGTGCTTTTTATGTAGCCTGTTGTAAAACTAGGAAAATATCTACATGAGCTGATGTACCCCCTGGAAGATCCCTGCGTACCCCCAGGGGTCTGCGTACCCCTGGTTGAGAACCACTGATGTAGGCAACCTTACCTTGAAAAGGGCTTGTATCGATTAGTCTGGATGCTTAGACAGATGTACATGGGACTTTACAGAAAAATTAAAGTCTCCAAAAACCTTGCAATCTAAATTACACACTCACCCCTTCAATGCCCTCTCCCTTGCTCCGTGTGGGAAATCCCACATGTTACATTTCAGAACTGAGGCCTAACATACTTCCCTGATACAGAATGGAGAAAGAAATATATAGAGAGAGTAGAGTCACGCACTCCCATTTCTTTCCTCCTCACAGTGCTCCACCATATTATCTATCTTAGGGTTTGATCTTGTTACCCATCTCTGCAATATCCTCTGACTACGGCACTAACTCAATACCTCTGCACGATACAAGAGTCACGTCTTACCTGGGAGCTCAGAGCTGCTCAGCAGAGAGGAGTGTGAAGGGCCCAGAAAAGAGACACTGCCCCCCGCACAGGGTAACAGTCGTAAACTCTTCCAATTGAGAGCGACATTCCCAAGACCAGCTGGGAGTCAGAACATGACCATATCAAGAAAACCACCAGATGAATTTCATCCAATCACAGCATCAAGGCATGTCAGGAGGTTTTTCTTGGCAGTTGTTATGCCAACTGTGAGTCACTTGCACATGAGCATGCAAGATGAAAGTCTTCATAGAAAGAGGACACACCAAGCTCAGATAGCTGTGATGGGTTAAATCCTTCTCCCAGGGGCAGGTGAACCTTTCTAAGGTTCCTTTCAGCTGCAGAATAGCTGCACAAAAGATGGTTAATGGCCTGGCCACTTTTTTATGCCATGTGGTCCTAGGTGAATGGGGAGATCCACAACAGCCAGCCGGCTAGGGGTCTCCTCGCCTGAACTAGCCAATGGGAGATGCCAGTGAGAGGGGGTGTGTCCAGCACCAGGTTTACAATGGTGCCACTGGTGCCATGGTGCCAGGCCCACAATCAGAAGGGGCCCCGGTGCCCTGACTGTGGCCCCCGCCCGCACCTGTGGTCTGCCCTGAGGCCACGCCCCCACTCGCTCCTCTCCACCCCTCCCTCCCCTCCACCCATGTGAGTAGCGGGCCTTGGGAGGAAGAGGCAGAGTGAGGGCAGGGCCTCAGGGTGGAGCAGGGGGTGGGGCCTTGGGGGGGGGCAGGAGCCTTAGGGTGGAGGAGGGGGCGGGGCCACGCTCTGGGCACCGAGGCCCACAAAAGATTAATCCAGCCCAGGTGTGTCCTAAGCACCATCCCTCTCACGGAGTTAGAGGCTTAAATCCAGACTACAGGGAAGCATCTCACTCTGCTTGCCAGGAACCCCTCTCCAGGAGCCATGCGGCTTCTGTGCCAAAACCATTTCTTGCAAGAAGTTTGGGCACCTGCTTCACTATATTAAAAAAATAGGAGCGAGGCTGCCAACCTTGTGACTTTCAGCCCAGTGGGCAGAGCGCTCACCCGGGAGGCAGGAAACACAGGTTCAATCCTCCCGCTCTGCCGGATGGCAAGAATGCATTTTAATGGGAGCAGAGAAGTATCTGCGTAATGTTTGACCTTTGCACTGAGAAGGGTGGCTACATGGGGGGGTAAGGTAAATTTTGGGGTGGCTATAGCCCTGTAAGGCCCCCCTCCACAGCGCCGCCCTGGTGACAGGTATTTCTTAGATGCAATCTTGTTTATTTACAAGGCATGTACAAAGTCTTGGGTCTGTGAACCCAGAAAGAAGCAAATAGCAGGAAACAGCTTTGTCACAGACAATCTTTTCCTCCTGCACCCTTGACCCAAAAACCAATCCCCAGCTTTCTACCTGGGTCAGGCACCAGGCTTTGGATGCTCCTTCAGGCTGTGCGTGGGGCTCTCTGGTCCTTTTCATAGAATATCAGGGTTGGAAGGGACCTCAGAAGGTCATCTAGTCCAACCCCCTGCTCAAAGCAGTGCCAATCCCCAGACAGATTTTTGCCCTCGATCCCTAAACGGCCCCCCTCAAGGATTGAACTCACAATGCTGTGTTTAGCAAGCCAATGCTCAAACCACTGAGCTATCCCTGTGTTCTTCCTTCCCTACACACCCCTTTCCCAAAACAAAACTCAACAAAAACCACACTGCCCCCTCAGTCCAAAACTCCTCAGGGGGGTCACAACTGTCTTAGGTGGGGGGCTTGTGATGAGATTATCCTGACGGTTAATTGAAGGGTGCATTCGCACCCATCAATCTCAGAGGTGCGCGATTCATGCAGTCACCAGTACCTCTCAGCAGAACGATGGCATTCAGGTTTGGTGGGAGTGACTTCCAAAGGGGCAAGAAAGTGCAGGATCAGGCTCATTGCTCTACGGGGATTCTAGCTGGGACGTTACCACTCTCCCCTTCAATGGTATAGAGGTGGATTTGCAGGGGTTAGATTGCTACATTGTCCCTAAGCTGAAGCCACCATCTGTTTTCCATTTTCCCTCCTCCTGGATGCACTTTGTTGGGGGAGGGGAAGATTATTCTACTAAACTCAACCCAATTCGTGACTCACAACAGATTTGGCAGTTCTCCTGAAGGGGAAACAGACCCCTTCCCTATGGCACTGGGGTGGAAAAAGGAGATATTAGCTGGTGGCTTTGCTGTGACATGGTACAATTGACTTCCCTGTCCATAAACCATATCTGCACACACATGCAGGGTAGGTGAATCCAGAACACACACAGACACAGAATGGGGAGAAGACACACCACACACAAACACGGTAGGTAAATCCAGAACACACACACACACATGCAGGGTAGGTGAATCCAGAACACACACACATGCACGATAGGTGAATCCAGAAGAAATACATACACACACACACACACAGGGTAGCTGAATCCAGAACACACACACACACACACACACACACACACAGATAGAGGCACAGTAGGTGAATCCAGAACACACACACAGACACATATGCAGGGTAGGGGAATCCAGCACACACACACACACTGGGGAGAAGAGCCCTATGAATCAGGAAGATGGAAAGAGACCAAAGGACGTTGACAGAATGCTGAGAGCCCTGCTGCATAAACACTTCCTGATCCACTCCCTCAGCTGCCTTAGTGACCATATTTGTTCATCGCAGAGTCTCATTGCACCAAGCTAGTGAAGACCAGACGTGTCCGTTAGACTCTCGCCTGCTGCAGTGAAATCGCACTGCGTGGTTCATGACTGTTATTTGGCTGGTTTTGTGAATGCCGTGCTGCTGTCTCCAGCTTCCTTTCACATTTATCTTTCTTGGTGTCCCTTCTGCCTGGGAGATTTTGATTTTTCTGTTTGCTTGTGGCCGCAGTAATGAAGATATGACCCACAGTGAGCAAGTATGGACTTACCAGGGCATTCAGCGAGCAGGTATGTGAACAATTTCAATCTTCCACAGGTAGAAAAGGGACTGATGTGGAGAAGGATAATGTTAGATTTAGTGACATGGACCGGAAAGAACAGTGAGTGAGCCTGAGAAGGACAGTGAGGGTGGGATCTAAGTTTACTGGTTACATTTTTTCCTGTTCTAGTAACTCCTCAAATTTAGATGGGTTAGGCTGCCACATCAGCATTAGCAGAGTGATTGTTGTTAACAAGGCAAAATATGCAATGCACGAACTGCTTAAAAACTGCAGCACTGAAAACTTAAAAAGTTATAAGTGGTCAGCCTGGCAGAGGTGCTGGGCAAGTTTGCAATGTAGCCCCCTCAACCTCTTCAATGACAAATCAGGGACAAAATTAAAGTGAGGAAGAAGAATTCCCCAGCTACTTAGTTTCTGCTTTGGGGTGATCGACTCTGTAAGTGACACTCTAACATGACCACGTTGCAGATCAGAGCAGAAAGCCCACCCTATGGAATTTTGTTGCAACCGAGCTAAGGTACACCAGGGAGAGACCTGGCCCCATAAGATTTTTGTGACCTGGGGAGAGCAAAGCATGATGGGGCACTTCAGTTATTAACAATTTTTTGTAAACCAAAAAAAAAAATCACTATTTAAATTATATTTGAAATTTATGTTGGAAAATATTTTTGAAGGTGAGACAGTGTTTTCAGATCAGGGTAGACAAATTCTTACCTTTTCTGGCCCCTCAAAGACCATGCTAAATATTTAGTATTTGTCTCATAGCATGGGCCAGTGACCAGAACTCCATGGTGGCAGGCACCGTATAAACTGGAGCTGGTTGGAAAATGGGATGTTCTTCTATAGAAAATGGGGACAGAAGCAAAGTTTTCAATGGGAGTCTTTCCACTGACTTCAGGGGGAGTTGGATCAGGCCCTAAAAACACAGGGCGTGGTCTGCCTGCCGGTGCCATCTGAGAAAACTTTTGCGTATTTCGAATTTCCAAAGCCCCCAAAATAGTTTGGCCAAAATCCAAAAAATAGTTCATTTTTTGTTCAAAAATGCAGTTTTTATCTTTGAAAATCTTGCTCTTAATTTCTAAATATTGGCTAGAGCACATCAGCCCCACAGAAACGTGTTTAAAAATAAAGTTATATTGAGAGCCATCAGCTACAAGACTCCATTCACTATTAAATGTCCATAGCACCAAGAGATACACCCATCAGGATCAGGATCCTATTGAGCAATTCATTTCCAAGCTCCCCGGGTCTTTATTTTCCCCTCCCCACCCTGACGAAGGAGAGTGAAAAGTTTCCGGCTGAATGGGGCATTTAAAACCGTTTTTTTTGAAGCGTTGCATGGGGGCAAGAAAACCAAAGTAGTGTGCTTCTTTTTATGCATGCCTGCTGAGACTTACCACATGGTAAAATTGTGTAGCTCAGAGGATCTCAGAGGGTGGTCTGCATGCTGATCGGTGAGGCTCAGCAGAGAGCTAGCTGGTCACAGAGCATTGGCTCTTTCTCCTTGTTTCAGCTGCCCCAATAAATAAATACATAAATGAAAATCATAGATAAAAGTGTTACGTAGGTTCTTAATGGTACTTTTCAGAATCAACCATTGCAGTTAGAATCATAGAATAGAATCATAGGACTGGAAGGGACCTTGAAAGGTCATTTCCAGTCCAGTTCCCCGTTAGCCACAAGGACGCTGCATGGTAGAGAATGGAAGGAGAGGAGAATCCATAGGTTGAGCTACATATTTAAATATAGTCCACGCAATGAACACGTTTGGGAACCCCTGCGTTTACCCTCAGTGTGTTGCAGTGTGAAACTGGGGCTCTAAGAGGGTCCCATCTGAATGTGAGGTAGGGTTTACCTCAGCCACTGTGGTGTATAAGGAGACAGGACAAAGAGGGTTTGCTGTTTTTCTCTGACCCTAGTGTGGCTCTGAGAGGATCCCAGCTTGAGTGGAATTTATTCTGTTAGTTGTTACAACATTTTCCACTATAAATTGCAAGAGAGGTAAAGAGAGGGTATTTTGAACAGGGCTAACTAGCCAGGGGGCTGAACCAGCATCGGGCCAATTTAAAGGATTCCAAGATGGCGCCGGCAGCCGGGCCGCACCCTAATCTTGTTTGGTCTTATCCAACTCCCGCTCAATTTGATGAATGCCAAGATGGCGCCTGCAGCCCAGCCATGACCTATATGGCAAATATGCCCAACGGAGAGTGACGTGAAATGGGAGTACTTCCGTACACGGCATTCTACAACTAAAACCCGAGACTGCTGCTTTTTAAAAACAGATCGAAAGCTTGCGAGACTCATTCCCCTTGCTAAACTGGACTCCGCTATCTTGCACCGTGTGCCGGCATTTACCCCAGTGCAGATGGTGTTTGAGTCACTTCCATTCTGATTTAGTCAGATGTTAGGCAGTATTATTTTCTGGCTGGGATGCATTCAGCGTGTCCATGCCCACGGATGTAAATGTAACTGGGGTGCTGGAACAATGTGTATGGGGGGGGCTGAGAGCCATTGATCCAAATTGTAAACTCTGTATGTGATGGAAACCACTTCAAGCCAGGGGGTGGTGCTGCACCCCCAGTTCCAGCACCTATGAATGTAGCCCTTCTACCAGGTGGAGTTGGCAGCAATAAGGGCTGGGTTCAATATCTAGGGGTTCCTTTCAACAATATGACACAGAACCGGCTTGAGCCCCTCACCCAGAAATCTGGGAAAATTGCACATCTGGGCACCTCGACGACACAGTACTTCCCCTCTCGCAAGCACTGCGTCGGTGTATAGCAAAGAAAACTTCTAATGAAAAGGGGAAAGGAACCCGGCATTCATTCAGAAAAACGCCACCAGCAGGATTCGAAAACATGTGACCAAGAACAAAACACTCACCCCAGAGTACGCTGGGCAGTATCCTTCACCTCAGTTCCTCACCTTGCGGTGTGAAAGTCCAGCAAACAAATGTTCCTTTAACACGCCGCTCCCCTCTTCCTCTACTGCATCCCACTCATGGTTGTTGGCCTTACTCAGCTCTTAATGGGGGAGCCTCTCTGCTAGTGCAGGCTGGGCAGTCTCTTTCACCACAGTAGCTGTAAGACTTAGCACGTACCTGGTTATCAGTGATCTCAACTCTAGTGATCCATAACAAGACTCTCAAGTGAGTCTAATCAGCTCTGTCATTAAATGCTGGAGAGAGAAAGGGTCAGATGGTATCTATAACCCTTGTGCAGAGGCAAGCCGCCGCTCAGCTGCTGTGCTTGAAATATTCTGCAGTATTCCAGACAGAGGCTTGATATCTGCCAAAATAAGAGGCGTGGCTTATGAGAGTGAGGCTCTGGCATGGGTGGTTTGGACGGGCAGCAACCACTCCCTGTTGATGACCAGGGTTTGAGCCGAGGAGGGAGAGAGAAAATAGTAGTGGTATTCTCTCACAATCCACCTCCAAACCAACTCTCACTGATTTGAGATGCCAACATTAGATGTCACTTAGAGCTGGTCAGAATTCCAAATTTCCGTTTCGCCGGAAGTTTTGACATTTCGAAATATTTTCGTTCCGAATCAGAACACATGCCAATATATTTGAAATTTTCTTCCAAATTGGATTCTGGAAAATGTTTGGCTTTAGAAAAAAAAATTATATTGGCATTTTAAAACTTTTATTTAGAATTTTTTATTTTATTTGATAGGGCTTTTCATTTACATTTTTGATGTTATTCCATGATGTGAGTATTAGTACATAATATGCATTACTGCTATTGACGTTATTATATGAAAAAGATGAAATAGTCCTTTATTTTATTTGTTTAAAATCATGAAAGAAGGCAGCTTCTCGGTACCGATGGATACTTTGGTCTAGAAAACAAACTGTAGCTCCTGTTTGTGTTTGTAAATGAAACAGTCTGACATGAAAAACCGTTTCTATGAAAAATGTCCGACCCCTTCAATTGCCCCTCAGAGTAGATTGTTCAATGCTAAAAATATGATCAGGGAAGGTTTCTGGGTTCTGCTGGGTTTTTGGGGTGTGGCTCCTTCCTGATTGGGGGGAAAATTGGCAATAATTTCCCAAAATTTCTTCCCGTAGCATCAGAATGAGCTGGCAGTCATAAAGATCTTCTTAATATGACTCTCCTCCCTCTCTTTTCTTACATTCTTTGAGCAGTGAAATAGTTAACAATGTGGACATTTAAATCATTGGCATTGGACATCTGAGATAGGAAAAAATAGAGGAAAGTAAAAGGTTTCTTCTTATCTCTGTCAGTTATTTTAGGGTTTGTCTACACTTATGTTAAAATATGACAAATATTTACCTAAGGTGTTTTAACATAGTTTTAAATTCTTCTTCGTCCCAAGTTTAATTACAAGGAATAAACATACGCGTCATGCCTACAGTAGAATTTACAATCATGTTACTTAACACTAGAGCAGGGTGACATTTTTTTGGCTGAAAAACCAAAGGAAACAAACAGAATTTTTTTTTTTGACATTTCAAAAATTAAATGTTTTGATTTTTCTGTGCAAAATGATTTTGGTTTTTTTTAAATTATATTTGAAAAAAAGGGGAAAATGATCAAAATTGAATTGATTTTGTCAAAACATCTACTTCAACCTGAAATTATTATTATATTTTAAACTTTTTGATTTGTTGACATTTCATTTTTGGTTTGACCTGAGACCAACGTTTTTCCTCCCAGATTTTTGGAATTGCCAGAGAACTGAAAAATTCATTATTTGTCTAGCTCGACTTAACATAAGTTGGT